CTTAAAACAAGCATCATTTATTTAGCCTCTCCTCTTCTGCAGACTGGTTGGTCCTTTGGGTCAGGTTTAGCAAAGTAGTTCTTCTGGTCTGCATCTGTAGTTACCTGTAGGTCGGCTAGGCACCTCTATTTTTATAAGTTGTCTGGCTATGGGCTGGGACATTGATGGTGACTTGGTCACTTGTCTTCCATTCTCCAGGAGGTTAGGTCTGAGCTTGTTTACAGGGGTATAATAGGGTTCTAAGAGAGTAAATGCAGCTAAGACTGAAATTTAGGTTTTTCACACGAATGTCATTCTTCCCACTATGTTGTACTGGAAAAGCAAGTCACAGTGCTGCAGCCCAGATTCGAGGGTGGAGATGAGCTACAAGTTGACGCTGCAGTGGCTTAGATATCTTGAGGGGTTAGTGGATAATTGTGGCCATTTTTTAAGTCATCCTACCCCAGTCAGCAAAAACAGAAGTAAATTTTTTGAAAAGACTGGAAGACTGATAGAGAGCAAGGAAGACACAGATAACCAGTCAGGAATGAAAGAGGGGACATCAAACAGATTGTGTAGATACTGAGAAGAAAATTAGACTTAAGCTTTACATCAACAAGTTTGAAAGTTTAAACAATACGGACATATTTCTAGGTGAATACAGGTTACCAAAATTGACATATGAAAGGCTAGAAAATCTGAATTAAAGAACTGAATCCATAATTAAAAACCTTGCACAGAGAAAAAGTCTAGGCCCAGGTTGTTTCACCACTGATTGCTATTCAATATTTGAGGAAGAAATAACATGTCTTCTACAAGCCCATCCGGAGAGTAGAAAAAGAGGGAATGCATCTCAGCACGTTTTGAGGCCAGAATAACCTTGATGCCAAAACCCAAGAAGCATATTATAAGGGAATATTACAAGCCCATTCCATTTATGAATGTAAATTTTAAAAAAAATCATCAAAGTGCTAGCAAACTGAATGTAATAACTTATGAAAAGGGTGATGCATCAAGATTAACTTGAGTTTGTTTTAGGAATGTAAGGTTGTTTAACATTTGATAGTTGATTGTAATCCACTGCACTGATTTTAAAGAGAAATATTATGGTTGTCTCAATAGATGATAAAGAAATGTGATAAATTTAAATATCCACTCATGATTTAAAAAAAAAAAAAACTTTAGCAAACTCAGGAATAAAGGGAAGTTTACTTAATCTGGTAAAGTATACCTACAGAAAGTCTACAGATTACTTTAAGCTTTATGGTCAACTGTTGAAAACTTTAATTTTGAAATCTGGAACAAGTGAAGGATGATAGACTCTTCTTTGACTTTGAACTTGAGATGTATTGGCCAGTGCCATATGGTTGGGAAGGAGAAAGGATATATAACAGTCATTATTTGCAAGTAATAGGTTTGTTTACCTAAAGAATCCAAAAGTACCTACAGAAAAATTATGAGAAATAATGATGAAACAGGCTGCTGGTTATAAGGTTTATTAATACAGAACATTCAGTTACATGTTCATATACAAGAAACAAAAATGAATTAAAAAATACAATAGCAAAAATGAACCCCCAAATATCTAGGAATAAGTCTAACAAAAATGAATAAAGTCACAATAAAAAAGCCTTATATTCTTGATAGATATTAAAGCAGACCTGATCAAATAAAGAAATTACACTGTGCTCGTGGTTTTGAAGCCTCTGTTGTAATATCTCAATTAAAATTACCACCAGTATTATTTCAGAAATTGACCAGCTGGTTTAAAAATCTGTGCAGAAACAAAGGGAATGAATAGATGAGACATTCTAGAGTACGAGCAAGGTAGAATAAGTTGGTATACTGCATATCAAGATTTTATTATAAAGTTACAATAATTAATTCAGTGTGATATTAAAGCAAGGATAAGCAAATAGATTAATGTAATAAAATAGAGAACTCAGAAATAGACCCAAGCATATATACGTGTTATTTATGACAGTAATGGCACCATAGAGTAATTGGAAAAGGATAGTCTTTTCAGTAAAATATGCTAGGACAATTGGGTGTCCATGTGAGAGAAAGAGAAAAAGCGGTGCCATTACAGACATTAATTCCTGGTATACTGTGGGTATAAATGCGAAAGAGTAGTAAAGCTTCTAAAAGTTAATACAGAACGATATCTTTTCATGATCTTGGGATAGGGAAAGACCCCACTGACCATGAAGAGAAGACTGATAACTTGAGCTACATGAAAATTAATTCAGTCCAATTAAATTCAGTTATACAACACCATTAAAGAACTAGGAGGCACTGGGTGCCCGGGTGGCTCAAGCAGTTAAGCATCTGCCGTCCACTCTGGTCATGGTCTCGGGATGCTGGGATCAGGCTCTGTGCTCAGTGGGGAGTCGTCTTCTCCCTCTCCCTCTGTGCACACGCTCACTCTCTTTCTCATAAATAAATAAATAAATAATCTTTAAAAAAAAAAAAAAAAACTAGGAGGCAATCCACAGGATGGGAAAAGGTATTTGGTACACCTGTAACCACAAAGTAGAAATCACTTAAGAAAACACTAACACAATAAAAAGTAGTCTAGAAACTTCAGGAGTGCTTCAAGAAAAGTATAGGTCTGAATGGCCAGTAAACCTGAAAAAATGAACTTTATTAGTAATCAGGAGAATGCTAATTCAGACATTCAGCAAGTGCATCAGAATGGCTAAAATAAAAAGCATTGGTAGGGAGTGCTGGAGAGGAAGTTGGATCAAAACAAATTCTTCTTGTCTTCTTTGGGGACTTATAAATGCATACAGCCATTTTAGAAAATAGTTCAGCACTATCTACGAAGGAGTTCTTTTTGGATATTATCTTCTTTACCAAGAGTCTTTTCCCTCAAGGAGTGGTCCCTTGTCCTCTTTCTTTATTTTGTACTGTCTCTTTCATGTTAGCCTTCTCAGGTCTTTGGTGAACCTGCTTTGTCTATTCATATTTAAGTATGAAGCACTGAACATTTGATTTACGAACTTACATGTTTATGTACTGGGCTCACCCACTGCAAGCTTCAGTTTGAGGTCATCATCTGAAGTGTCAACTTTGAGAAGGTAGCCAGATGCTGTTTATGGAGACAGAAACTCAAGCCTGTTACCTGCAAATTAGATCCCTGTTTGTTGGTGTTCTGTATACCATTTCCACCTTTTTTTTCTGGTTTTCTACAGAGCTCTCTGAGTGTCAGGTTTCTCTGGAGTTGTCTAGGATAAATTTGCTATGGACCGTATCCCCTTATATGGACATTCTAAGCTGGATATTTGATTGAAGGCCTGAGGTTTCCTAAAATGAATTTGTAGTGGACTTGGTAGGGTATTAATTATCCACTATATGTGCCAGACCTTGTATTGAACCTTTTATATGTATTGTGCTGTACACACATACACTCCTCAGTACAGCGCCGCCAGATAGTATCATCTCCATTGTATAATTGAGGCTTATTTGATGTGACTTTCAAATTCCTCATTATTATTCAGTATTGGAGCTTGGATACCAGTTGGGATCTGTGTGCTTTAAGAGTTTTTTAAACACTTAATAATAGTATAGTTCTTGAATTTATTCAAATTGGAGATGTAGAAAAGGGATTCTGGGTTGGAAGCAAGTGCATTGTTAACATGGATGATGGCAGGGATTTAGGTTGATTAAAGAAGTAGAAAAATACTATATGCCAAGAAACGAGGCAAGGATAAGGGGTTCTATCTCGGCCTTTTGGCTAAGATCAAGTGTAGTATCTGTTCTTAACCAGTTTTATTTGAATGGAAAGGCAAATTTCAGAATTGGGGATCTTGTAGAGCTAGATCGAGTGCTTATAGGATCAGTCTGAGTTTTGGGGTGGACAAATCCCCTGAGGGAAGGGTGCTTTCTCCCAGCTAGACATGTGTATTATCCATCTTTGATTTGCCTGTCACTTGTAAGATGTGGAAATACTGGTGAGCAGCTTAGTGAGGGAAAGTAAAAAGCTGTTGGGAGTACAGAAGATTGGAGAAATGCCTTAGCTTCTTAAGCCCTTAAAGCAGTGAATGCTAGCATATTAGTTTTATGTAATGATATGCTAGTAGTAGGATCAATTGCAAGAAAAAGGTAGGAAGCTGTAAATACATGAATCGGTACCTATTTGAATAAATAAAAACCACCATGGCTTTTTGTGGAATTGATGGTAAATACTCATTTTTTTGTCTTTTGTGCAGTTGACCTGTGAATGAGGAAATTTTACTTTTCAGTATTCAGAGTCAGTCTGTGCTTCCTGTTGGCCTTTGTACTAGAAGCTTCTAGTGAGGGATGGCAGTTACTTATACAATTATTTGTATCACTGTCCTACTCGTGGAAAGAATTAAGGCTCCTTGCAAAGCTAGTGGTATAAGTTAAAGTTAGAAATGGAAAAAAAAGGAAGAAAACTAAGGTACAGACATAAAATTGTGCAAAAAATAATATGCTCTTAAGACTGAAATAGTATAGGGTGGAATCCAAATTTGGCCATTGGTGTTATGGAAGCCAACAAAAAACTACAATTCTCTCTGAATAGTTGCTTTGGAGAAAGTATTTTCTTGTTAGATAAATGAGACAGGAATTTTTCCCAAGGATCTCTGTAAAAAAATGCAATTACTGTTTGCTGTATGTATAACAATTCTCTGTATGCTGACATTACAGAGTTTTGTAGAAGGGATTTATATTGGGTGGCATCTAAGATTTTGTCAAACTTTAATATACTGGTTTATTCTGGTTTAGATTACATGTTGATGGACAGTTCAGTATAGTACCTGTTTTATGTAGATAGTGTTGTTCTAATTCATAATTTGTGTTAATACATATAAAACTTCCATGCTGAACAGTGAGCTTTTGTAATTACACCATCAAACTGGGCTAGAAATTCCTAAGTACTCTTAAGATTTATTAAAAAATATTTAACTTGACTAAGTAAAAATACATTTTAAAATAATTTTAAGAGCTATAAATTCAAGCAAGTGAATAATATATAGTGACTTTTTTTTTTTCCCCAGTTTAATTTTGTTGGGAGAATCCTTGGACCTAGAGGACTTACTGCTAAACAGCTTGAAGCAGAAACAGGATGTAAAATAATGGTCCGAGGCAAAGGCTCGATGAGGGATAAAAAGAAGGTAAGTCCTTGAACTTGGGGGCAAGTCTTGATGTGAATAATTTACTTATACTTTTGCATTCTAATAATAAAATATCCAGATCTTCTGTGCATAAAGCACTATACGTTAATTCATATCTGAAACTTCTGAACTTTTTTAAGGTGTTGTCATGGTTTTTTTCTTGTTGATTATCATGAGTTTTAGCCAACTAAGGTATCACTCAGTCCATCATGTTAACTTATTTTGGTATTTACAGTTGAGAAGCTGCCAATTGGGAAACTAGTCACACTATAATGTATATATAAAGGTATGTCATTAAAAGTTTTAAAAATCTAAAATGTTTCTGTTGATGAGATTTAAATGAAAGTGATCAAATGAATAGCTTTAGCTGTGTGTCAGATAACCGGGAGAGCTATTAAACGGAAAAAGAAAGCTATAACTAGCCATATGATACTCATCTTGGATTTCACTAACATTTTGTGTTGATTGTAAGTTTATTAGACAGTTTATATTGTTCCTGTTTTCTGTTTATTTCTCCTGCCATTTATTGTTCTTCTAGTTTAATTAATAAATACCTGTCTACTTTAAATACTGTTTTTAGGAAGGGTTTATTTGCCTAGTTTCCTGTTATCCAATGATACTGTTAGGCGGGATATTTTAGAATGTGTATCTGTGTAAAACAGTGTTTGATTTAAAAAAAAAATAACCTTTTAAAAAAAATTCCACAAAATGAAATCACATGGTATTTATCTTTGACTCATTTCACTTAGCAAATACCCTGTAGGTCCATTCACCCCTGAAACTAATGTAACACTGTATAAGAATTATACTTCGATTTAAAAGAAGAAAAACCTAGATTTGATTGCCAAATATTAAACATACTGTCCGGGAGGGTATTATTTTTTTAATACATTGCCTTGAAAGGGCTATCAAGTAATAGACCCATAGTCAGCTTACGTTGGAGTGTGTGCGTTGAGTCACTTTGTGGAGTTTATGGAACAAACACCAGGTCTACAAAGTATTCTGACTTCATTCTGATGTGCTTCTTTTCTGACCTTCCACCTCATTTCATTTACACTCTCCCACCACCTGACTGGATTGCAGTCATTTTTTCACCTTGCAGACAAATAATGACTTTGTAGCTGCAAAATTGGGTGTGCGTGGGGAGGGGGCGTCCCCAATAATACCGATTATCTTTAAATCTTATTATAACCTGTTCTTGTCAGCTGAGTTTAAAGATATTTTGAGGCTGTGTGAGTTCTCCTTCAGCAAATTTAAATATTGTGTTTAAAACATTTTTTATTAGAATCTTAAAACATGTAAGCATTTTCTGAATCAGCTAAGTGGCAGTCTTAAATTGGCATGGAGTTTTGGTTCCCGTTTCCACTTAATAGTTGTATTGGCATTAAGCAATTTAAGAGCCATAGAAAAATGAAGTTGACAGTTGATGGACAAATAAATCTTTACCTTAAGATTAGTGTATCCATCAATTAAACAGTTACTCTATAAATCAGTGAAAAAACATGTTTTCTCCTCTCCTCAGCCTCTGTTAATTCTGTAGTAATGACCCTCCCCTTCTCCACTCATACACTCATAGACACCAAGGATTAGAGCTTGGAACTTGTGTAATGAGACATCATGAGGTTTTTTTTTGTTTGTTTGTTTGTTTTGTTTTTTGATTGGGGGTGAAATTTTAGCCTGAAGAACATATCCTGCTGTCTTTGGCAGAAGAACCAAATAGTTAAATAAAAGAGCTTTGTGACCAGATTGTTTAGGTTTGAATCTTGGTTCTATCACTTAGCAGCTTTGTGACATTGGACAAATTACTTAATCTCCTTCTGCTTTATAAAAATGGGAGTAGTAATAAGGTGATTGTGAAGATTAAATTAGTTATAAAGCCCTTAGAACAGTGCTTTGGATCATAGTAAGTGATAGATTAATGTTAATCATTGTTCCTCATAAATTTTATCTTTTTATTATTACAGTAGTGCCCCTTATTCACAGGTGGGGGGGGCATTCTAAGACCCCTGGATGCCTGAAAATGCAGATAGTACTGAACCCTGTATATACTATGCATTTTCCTGTACATACATACTTCTGGTAAATTTAACATATAAATTAGGCATAGTAAGAGATTAACAGCAATCATTAGTAATAGAACAATTATAACAATATATTGTAGTAAGTCATGTGAATGTGGTCTCTCTCTCATAATATCTTAATATACTGTACTCACCCTGGTGATGATAACAGATGGTAAAATGCCTACATGATGAGATGAAGTGAGATGAATGATAGAGACTGTGACACTAGGCTACTATTGACTTGATGATGAGTTAGAAGGAGGATCATCTACTTCCTGACTTAGGCTGACCATGGGTAACTGAAATCGCAGAAAGCAAAGCTGCAGATGAGGGGGGACGACTGTAATTGGATAGTTAGTGCATTTTATGTTTAAACTCTTATGTTGCATCAAGGTGGGGGGACTGCTACTGTTTTGTTTTTTTTTTTTAAGTTTTGGAAAGGAGAATACCTTGTTGTTTTATGACCTTTGAATATCCCATAGTCTCATTGCTTTTCTGTTTTCTCTGGTGGTTGGTGTATCCATATTCTGTCTTGTCCACTTTGTTCTTAACCCCAATAGAAGCAGTTTACATTTTCTTTTTATTTTTAATTTGTACTGTTGGCTACCAAAATAAAATGAACTTAATAGATTATACATAATGCAAGAGTAACAATAAGACACCAGAAAAATTTGGCCACAGATTATATCTTTAGTTTTATTAAAATGCTACAGATGAACATACTTTAGGCATATCAAATTAGTTTGAATGACTATCATATGTTTGATATTATGGTATATGGAGTCTGTGAAGAATTTAAGCACGTATTTTTTTTTTTTTAAAGATTTTATTTATTTGACAGAGAGAGACAGCGAGAGAGGGAACACAAGCACGGGGAGTGGGAGAGGGAGAAGCAGGCTTCCCGCTGAGCCGGGAGCCCGATGTGGGGCTCTATCCCAGGACCCTGAGATCACGACCTGAGTCGAAGGCAGATGCTCAACGACTGAGCCACCCAGGCGCCCCATGCACGTATTTTTAATACCAGGGGTGTCTTCTATAATTTTAATGTAAATCTACACATAATTAATTGTTAAGTCATTTTGGTTAATGCTGTAGTTACTCTATTCATTGAGCTCTTAAAAATGTTAATGAAAGTAAAATCAAATGGAAAGTGCTGTCGATTGTTATTTGACGATTATTTTGGTAAAGAACTTGACAAGCAGATGGAGACGAAGTATTGATGAGATACTTCTTAGTACTAGGCTGATTTAGGTGTATTTCAGGTGTTTCAAAGGAAAAGCCGGTTGGCTTTAAGCTTTTCTGCAGAGCTGTCAATTTTTGTAAAAGCTGAGAAAGCTAGAAAATCTTAATTTACTGTTGCCTAAAATATGATGGAAAATGCTGTTTGCTGATCTGCATCCTTCACTAGCCTGGTAAACTCAGTGAAGGCAAAGCATGTCTATTTCATGGAGCGTTTACCTGGTGTTTGATGAGTACCTGGCACAGAGTAGGATCGGAAAAAAAAAAAGTCTGAAAAAGGAATGAATGTTTAGGTAATAAATGAAAGGCATAGATGCCTCCCCCCCACATCCCCATACAAAAGTTTGTAAATAGAGGAAATTATAAACCTGATGTGCTTTTAATTCTTTGGGCAAGATAAGCAGTACCATATTATCCTAAGCTGTTGGTTTTAAGCAAGGGAGTGAAAATGCCACTTTAATTTTTATTCTGTTGGATTGGTATTACTTCAGAGTTATTGGTGGGCATAACAGCATTGATTTTTGTGTACAAGTATCAGTGGAATGGTACTGGGTAAACTTCATGGAACCAAAGAGCAGGAGCTGTAGTCAGATTTTATGAGAGACGATGACCAAAGCTTGGAAAGCTGCTCTGTTTCAGCCAGTACTTATCTGGAGCAGGCTAACTGTCCCTCTGTCTCTGATTAAGTATATGGTACCATGGTGTCAGCAAGTGGAAACCAGTAGTTTTATGGATAGTTCTTTTTAATTTTCTTTTTTAAAGATTTATTTATTTATGAGAGAGGGAGGGAGGGAGGGAGGAGTGTGGGGAAGAGGGTTGGGGGAGAGGGAGAGAGAAACTCAAGCAAAGCAACTCCGGGCAGAACGCGGAGCCCAACATGGGGCTCAGTCTCAGGACCTGGAGATCAGACCTTAGCCAAAACCAAGAGTTGGATGCTCAACTAACTGAGCCACCCAGGTGCCTCTTTATGGATCGTTCTTGTGATTCATAGAGTGTGTACTTTGTATCAAGCATTATTCTAGGTATTTTACATTCATTTGTTTTAGGTTTTTTTCCATATCTTGTAAGTTTATTATTTTTTTATCATTTTATTTTTTTATAGTGATATATTAGTTTCAGGTTACAGTACAGTGATTCAGTAATTCCATACATCACCCGTTGCTCATCACAACAAATGCACCCCCTAATCCCCTTCACCTATTTAACCCAACCCTCCACGCCTCTCCTCTTTCTTCTAAATGATACTTCATTATATATACATACCACGTCTTATTTTATCCATTCATCAATCAGTGGACCCTTGGGCTGGTTCCATATCTTGGGTATTGTAAATAATGCTGCTACAAACATGGGGGGGCATGAATCCCTTTGTATTAGTGTTTTTGTATTGTTTGGGTAATACCCATAGTGTGATTGCTGGATGGTAGGGTAGTTCTGTTTTTAACTTTATGAGGAACCTCCTTACTGTTTTCTACAGTGGCTGCACCAGTTTGCATTCCCACCAACAGTGCAAGAGGGTTCCTTTTTCTCCACATCCTTGCCAACACCTGTTGTTTCTTGTGTTGTTAATTTTATCCATTCTGACAGGTGTGAGGTAATCTGAGTTTTATTATTCCTATTTTGTAGGTGAGGAAATTGAGCCTCAGGAGGTTGAGTAATGTGGCCAAAGGTCACATACCAAAAAGTAGCAGTCCAAAT